CCAGACTCCTTTATGGATTTTAACAGATTGCTGAGGAAAAGAGAGTATATATCGTCCAGTCTCAATACCTCCGACCCAAAAATGTAACTCCTGAGTCTGGTGAAGGCCATACAGTGGCAGAGAAAATGTTCTATACTATTCTTATTCTCCAAACAAAATTGACACAGTGGAACGTCGATGGTGCCAATGTTGACTATATGCCGTCCCCATAATCATTCCTATCGGGGTTCGCAGATAACTCCTTCTTTGTCTGTGAAGGAATTTTGCTACCACCCTGGCAGGCCTTTTCAGGAAACATTTGGTTTCTTTGCAGGTGTCAATACCACCCCAATGGCTCTCGTGAGTTTTGTTTATGGGATCCTTGATGTACCCGATCGTACCTGCTATGCTTGGCCCTAAAATTGGCTCCAGTCCAATTGGATGCTTCAGATAACCGCAGTTCGCCAATTCATCAGCCAGTACGTCGCCTTGAGCACCGTAGTGTCCTGGCGCCCATACAAGTTCAAGCACATTCCTGAACTGTATATGCAGAGGTGTTAGCGGTCCAAAGTCTCTAGAGCAGTTTGAATGTCACTGAAGATCCTGATTTTATATCCGCGCCACCTTCCGCTAATTTTCCACTCTGTCGCTTTTAGTATTGCAAAGACTTCCGATTGAAAGACCATTGCCATTGCATACCAAGCAGTAAGGCATCTGAAGCTACCCAGCTCCAGTACCATTTTCAGTCCTTGAGCCGTCGGTATAGAAAGTTTTCACCGAGCTACCGAAGAGAGTGTCTGGACTTCTCCATTGTTCCCTTGTAGGAAATCTAACAACGTACTTTCTTCCAAATCATATTCCGGATATCAGTTTGCCATTAAGTTCTGAGAAACTCTCTGTGCCCGAAACTCCAATCATCGTGCCATAAACAAAAAGAGTGCAGTCGTCAAATCGTTTTCACTGCCTCCTTATTGATCGCTAAATCCACAGGCGGCAAATCCAACTATGCATTAAGAGTCAGTCCTGATGTTGTTGTCTGTTTAACACAGTAACCATGTTTTTGACCACAGAGTACGTGACGATTGGTCTGACTAAAATTATTTATATAGCCAGAATACCATAGCCGGTCTCAGACCCCAGGTCCTACTAAAGGTTCCCCGATACTGTCCGAAAACTTTTAGCGCTCGATTTACCTTCAACGTCGAGCTTTCCATATCAGCTTCGTATATACAGTTACGCCTAGACATTTCGCATCCATGGAAAGACTTACATTTAAGCCTCTTAGCACTGGAAAGTTGGCCCTTCCAATTTTCTGCTCCGCGGGTGGTTTTGCTGGGATTGACAGCCGACCCTGCAAAGTACATCATTCATCAGTCTTGTTCAGGATTCTCTGTGTCCTAACACCCTAACATCTCCCTGAGAGATTTGCCGGATGATAGTGCACAAAGATGATCCGCGTAAGCTTGGATGTGAAATAAGTCTCGCATTTACATTAGTAGGGAGTACACTACCAACCAGAACAAGAAAGATAGAACCATTCCGCCGTGAAGGCATCCTCTCCCAACCTCTGCAATGGTCTTCTAGGTATCATGAAGTGAATCCATGTTATGATGGTTTCGTCCCCTCCATGACTTTTGGCGGCAGAGCGCTCAGGGTGAACGAAGGGCGGAACTTTGCCAAGAAGAGAAGCAATTGTCGAATTTTTTTGGACTCTTCGCAAAGCGAAAAGCGATAATATTGTTTTCCACTACTCAGACAGGAAAATCTTTGGTCTAACGATTCCTATATTTCCGTGTTCGTAAAAAGAGCAGAGCTTGTTTATGACAACTTAATTCAATAAGGTGCTAGCGGTGTTAGATGTGAATTAGTTTTTCTAGATATTTTAAATATTAAATTGTCGATCTTTCCAGAATTTACATCGATCTTTAAACTGCCAGATCGTCGAACCTTTTTTAGTGAAAGGTGACCGTATATATAGCAAAGGACATATTTTATGGTCAGACTAATAAGGCTGATCCAATAGCCAATGTTGTTCTCCGGACGCTATAATTCTCAAAGTAACATTTGTAAGATTTTCAAAATTTAATTTTTAATTGGGTAAATTTTACTGGGATAATGGGAGTGAAGGATTTCATTACTGGTTTCGTCTGTTTGTGTTTGTTTGTTTTTCCGAATTTGGTATCAAAATATGTTTTGACATGGTACTGTTTTTCGGACTAAGAAGGTTTAAGAATTTATAAATAAAGACTTACAGTTATTCCTAGGATGTTTAACAAAATATCACCTAAGGGTAACAAGAGGATAGAGGATTCTCTGTACACCTTTGTTAAAAAAATTTCCGTTCCAAACGAAAATTACGATGATGTGGATGAGCACAGAGAACCTTTAGTAATTTCCTTGTCCTCTTATGTTTTCTAGGAAGACGAGTCATAGGTGCTCGAGAATATTTTCCACTATACCTTTATTCCGAACACAAACTGCTAATTTTCCCAACATTTCTGTTTTTATATATATATATATTTTTTTTTTACTTAGTTATTAATTTATTTCCAAAGAAATTAGTTTAACAAAAGTATACAACAATATCAAACCAAAGTACATATTAATGTTCCTCTGCTCCAAATGGCTTAAAAGAGGATATCTGACAACAGATCATACAAGGAGTTTAGGGAGAAAAAAATAACATAAAAAGTTTACAATTGAGAATTATATACTTAACATTGTACATAAGAAGCGATTCCATACTTTCCAGAAGATAGCTTTTTAATTCGGTTTTGAAAAGCGATACACGTTCCAGTGTTTTAATGGAGTTAGGTAATTTATTAAATTGGTTAGGTCTGGCATATTCTGTTCTTTGCTTCGATACCTCTAGCCAGCATCTAGTTACTCTAAGCAGTTCACTATTTCGTGTTTCAAATATTGATTGGTTTCTATAAAACTTCAAAACATGATAACCAATAGTTGCTTTTTATATAAGCCAAAGACTGGTAGTATTGACTTAGCATACTCTTGGAAAACACTTAACGTGGAATGCCTTCTTGATAGGTTGAATACAAGTTTTAATGCAGTATTTTGACATGACTGCAGGGACCTAAGTTCATTGGTTACTTTATGGGCATACACTATCGGAAGATAAGTTAAATGGCTATGAATTAGTGATTGGTATAAGGACAACTTAACTTCTGTCGTTAGCTTGTTCTTAAATCTATAAAGAATCCTAATAGCGGGAGATATTTTTGATTTTATAGAATCAATATGGACACCCCAGCATAAATTCCGGGAAAGATGTACTCCTAAATATTTGACTGAGTCAACTTCTTTGATCTCGTCCCTCACCTTCGACATATACGCTGAGATTTTGATTCGCATGATTTTTTATAAGAGGTCTAAACCGAATAAACTTTGTTTTCTTTGCATTTAGGATCAATTTGTGTAAACGCGAGAACTCAGAAATCGCAATGGCATCCTGTTCAATCTGAACCTTTAGGACAGCAGGATGTTTGTAAGGATAAAACAAGCTTATATCATCCGCAAACATTACAAGACGGCCATTCAAATCAAGATTTTTAATGTCATTAATGTATAACGTAAATAATAACGGCCCCAAGACACTACCCTGCGGCACACCACACGTAATAGTTTTTAAGTTGCTTTTTGACCCATTTATTTCTACATATTGTTTCCGTCTCGAGAGATAATCAGCTATCAGTCTATGTTCTCTATCCCTTATACCTAACATTTCAAGTTTTCGCAATAAAATACTATGATCAACCAGATCAAAAGCTTTGCTAAAGTCGTAAAACATTCCAGCTACACCAGAATATCCTTTGTCCAACATTGACAACGTTGACCACCGCTTCTTCAGTGCCACAACCCCATTTAAAACCAAATTGATAGGGATAAGGGATACATCACCTTTTCGGAGTCTAAAAAGTGTACTAGTTGGTCATATATGAGTTTCTCAAAAACTTTATCTATAATAGGCAAGACAGCTATCGGCCTAAAATCTTCAGCTTTCTTGGTGTGAGTAACTTTGGGATTTGGTATAACTTTGTGAATTTTAAGGATTTCTGGATAAGTGGAATTTCTGATCATATTATTAAAAACCCTCGCCAAGAAGGGTGATATCAGATCTCTTGTTAAATAAAGAGCTTTTGGCGGAATGTTGTCGTGTCCGCAACCTTTATTTATTTCAATATTAGATAAATCAATTTCCATATCATGTGTGTTAACTTCATTTAAAATAAAATTATTTTGAACCTTGGTAGAAACCCGAAACATACAACATCCATCATCAGAGTGGACTTCAATGCTATTCCGTAGTTTATTTACAGACTCTAGGAAAAAATCATTTATATATTTAGCTTTTTCTAAATCATTTGTAAGTGGGGTATCATCCTGGCCTTTAAATTCGATAGAAGCTTTCTTTTTCCTGCCAAGAATAGTGTTAATGATGCTCCATGTCCGTTTTGGATCTGAGCCAAACTTTTTAAGATTTGAAGAATAATAATTGTTCATCGACAATCTTGTTGCATTTTTTATGACCCTGCTTATTCTCTTTAACCTTTCGCAAACACCTTTATCGTAACCAGCCTTTTTCCTAAGTTTCAGAAGTTTCTTTTTTAACTCTCGTAGAGCTTGTATATTATTGTTTATCCAAGGTGCTAAAGACCGACTTGAGGAGTTTTCTGTTAATAAATCAACGCTTGAGTCACCCAAAAAAACCGCAGCTCCGTTTGCGTTAGTTGACAACAAGTTATCGGTAAATTTAATAAATATATTCTCAGCACACTTTTGCGATCGATACGTGGAAACAATGATAAGCGGTTTTCCGTCTATTTTGATTGCATTAAGAGTAATTGAGATGCAATTTATATAGTTTTCATTAAATATCCCGTTAACTACATAATTTGATTTAGTGCTTATATCAACTTGTTACTAAATCTAATTTTTATTGTGAAAACTATTTTTTATGGCGAAAAATTATTTTACTAAATAATATAATATTTTCTCACACCCAGGCACGTTTGACGCGACAATCCATGTTGGACCCTTTGAAATGATTTGTGCAATCAAATGGGGAATACTAAATTAAATACAAATCACAAAAGCCATTACATTTCTCACAGTTTTCAACAACAAAACTACATAAGAGTAAAAACAAAGGCTAGATTAGACAAAAGAAAGGGAAATGCTCAATCAAATCAAAACAAAGTCAATCGATTGGAATCGAGGCAAATGTGATTTTCAGCTAGAAGAGCTACACAGCTTTGATTGCGCCAACTATACGCCGGCAGATGACTTTCAGAGAAGAGCGGGCGAGACAAGGCAAGCCACGAACGAGTACCGTATGACTACGGTGGGATGTTGCTCATACGTCTAGGAAGCCAGACAGCTGGCAGAGGCTAATCGCCAGCTATAGCGGGGTAAGCAAAATTTAATATTTACTCAGTCAATCGTGTAGGCGTAGAGCTCTTAGATCACCAATTGTGCCATACAATTGAGCTGGTCGAATGCTCATTTTGCGTGTGTGTGTCTGTGTGTGTGTGTGCCTATGTGAGTGCGAGTGTATGTATGTATGTATGTATGCATGTGTAACACATTTGGTATTAGTCCGCGCTTTTTCTTTGTGCTCGCGCATGCAAGTCAATCGACGATTTCCTGTGTGCCTCAAGTCCACTGTGCCGCAGCTGTTGCCACACAAGTGAGCTGATGAAATGCGGAGCACGGTCAACGGTCAGCGGTGGCGGTAGCGGCAACTGTGACGTCGATGCAACGCCAGATTGTATTGTGGAAAATTTATATTGCCGCAGTTTCATTGCGCCATTTGCATATGCACATTCATACGCGTGTACATATAGCTAGGCAAGCGAGTGACGGATGCTGTGCTTGTCGAGATCAGTTGTTCGGCCATTCGATTTTTAGCTGAATGTAGCACCAGGGATAGCTCAAACTTTGCAATTATCTAAATAGAGAAACATATGTACGTATATATCTACAGAAATATGAACGTAAATACATTAGGGTGCATCATTCTCTGCCGTTTTTCCATCTGAATTATAACATTTATTATATAGTAAGGCAGCCGCCAAAATATTTCGGGAAAATATTCAGCCTTATTATGAGTTTAATTTTTCCCGAACCGGTTCACTTTTCACTTTTTGATTCCATGTATTTACTATGGGCGGAATAAGAATTTTCGGGTGAATTTTTTTTCGTGCGAAACTCAAGATAAGGCAGATTAAGATTTTCGTGAGCTGGGCCATTTAAAAATACCTAAAAAAAAACCGATTTTTTTATAAATAACATTAGGTTTCAAAAAAATATTTCTTTCCAAAAAATCATCTCAGGAGATAGAAGAGTTTAGGTTTACAAGGTCTGTATAAAAATGCCGAAAAATGTCATCAACGGCATCAAAATGAGAGTTTTCTTTAGGGTTTTCAAATCGATTTAGCTCATGTTGAACTTAATATTTTTCGGAAATAATTTTGCGTCAGTTTTCAAATATAATCTGCCTTATCTTGAGTTTCGCCTGAAAAAAAAGTTCAACCGAAAATTTGTCATCCGCACATAGTAAAACCATGGAAACTAAGAGTGAAAAGGGAACCGGTTCGGGGAAAATTAAACTCATGATAAGGCTGAATGAATTTTATAATTCCGTTGAAAAAACAGTAAGTTTTTTGGTGATCCATTCTAATGTATGTGCATATGTACATACATATGTATGTATGTATGCAAATGGCGGTATTTGTAATGCGACAGTGATCGGCTGCATTTGACTACGTCAAAGCAATGAAGCACTGAAATAGCCTAAACTATTCGAAATGCACACAAATAGCAGGAGTGAAAAGATACTTACATAGGTACATGCATATCGTCGTTTAAAGTACAAAACCGCGTATCAACAAAATGCAAAACCGCTATGTGAGGTTGCATAACTTATTTTCTAGAGAGTAAAAATACTCATATTTCAAAATGGTTATCTTTTTTATAAAGCAATCGCATTTCTGGCTAGTATATTTCAGAACAGGGTTGAAAAAGTAGGTACAATTGTACCTTTTTCCGACGTTTGATGACTTAAAGGTGCATTCGGTACAGTCAGTAGATTTTAGGTACAATTATTATTATTGACCCATATTCGCTTTTTGATTTCTGGAAAGATATTTAAAATGCTTTCGATGTTACTTACGGCAATTTGAATATTTTATCTAGACTTGTTGCACCTATTAAAAAGGAATCGGATAAATTAGCAGACTTTTCGTGTTGTTGCTGGATAAAGAAGTATACTTCGCAAAGTGTGTTTTTTGTCTTTTTCGCCAATATTTTTCAGTAGTCAAAATTAGACAAAAACAACGCTTCTCCGATTTCCATTAGACTATAGTCTATAGATATAGGCACAGTTAAAAAAAAAACCTAATCATGTATTCATGTTTTAAACAAAATTTATTAAAAAAAACTACAAATGAATGATGTAACTTTTTTTAGGTACAATCTGTCTCATTTAGGTACATTTATTTTATGATATTAGGTACAATGTGAAATTTCCACTTTTCATCCCTGTTTCAGAATGAATGGATAAGGCTTGAGCCAAGAGCTTCTGGGAGCAAGTCCAATTTTTGGCAAAAAATGTCAGTAACGCGGTTTTGCAGAACGACGATATGTACATTAAGCCGTATCACGACAAATGAAAGAAAAAAAAGTTTAGCGCATGTCAGCTTTACTTAATTACTTATGAAGAGAGAAAATTTTGAGTGTAAAAAAATTTTCTGTAGGCACCCGTTACAAACCGCAAAATCGCATTATTTTCTGTAACTTTCTTATTTTATATCCGATTTTTTAAATCTTCATGTCGTTGAAAAGCTGACACTAAGAACTATAATTGGCCATTAAACAATTTTGGCTTTCAAAACCGTTTTAATTTATATCTTCAGTAATTTTTAATTTAAATTTTTAATTTTATACTATAAAACTAAAGCTCTCAAAAAATGATAACGACCTTGGTGAAAAGTGTTAGGCTTTATTATAGTCCTGAGCGAGGCCTTTTCGGTGACATAAAAATAAAAAAAATAATAAAAAAATTCGTATAGCAATTAAGAAAGTTATACGCGAAAGAAAAACGCGATGAAGTGGTTTTTAACGGGTGCCTAAAAAAGTTCTTTTTATAACCAAAATTTTCTCTCGATGTAAGTGTTTAAATAAAACTGACGCCGAACTTTTTTCGTGATACGCCTTAATCTACCTACATACATACATATGTATCTATATATATTGTACTTATTTGTACATTAAATTAGCCCTTCATCCCTGCGACTGAAGTTTTTTTGCAATGCAATTTTAGAAAAACAATTTTTAATTACCGTCTTTTATATTTTTTGTCATATCTTTGGTATTTAAAGTCGGATCTTAAAGTATGATATATCGGTTTTTCTTTTTTATTCCATTATTCATTGACCTCAAGTACCCGGTTCTAGTACTTACCCACCATACATCAGTTCTTATCACCCTAATGTCAGTAACTTCAAGCTTTAAACTTTTGCTAAGGAAGTATTTAGATATGAGTCAATTCATTTTTTCTTTTTTTTTGCTGAACGTAGGGATCGCCTTATAAAATGTTTCGTCATATCGGATTTTTAAATATGGTACGAGTATATCGATATTTTTTTTTGTCTTCATGAGACAATTTTTTGCTCTAAAGTTCATTTATTTGAAGTATGTACCACGTTCTAGTACTTACTCACAAAACCACAGTTCTTATCACCCTAAAATACCACCCTAATGCCAGTACATTAATGATTATTCAAGTAGAACTATAAAAAAAAAAATGTTTTACGGAATCTAGGTGTAACCGAATATTGAAGATATAGCAACCATTTGCATGGCCCCCATTAGTCTGAGAGCCAATCATGGCATAAATGGTCTGCATAGAAATTTTAATAAATTGTATCAGTGGAATCAAAATAATGAGATTTTTTGAGGTATATCCAAATCGATCCAGCTCTCATAAATCTTAATATATTGCCGAAAAACCGTAACTTTTTTTTGGCGAGGCACCCTAATGTAGTACATAGCAATGTAAATTTTTACTAATAATATTATTTAATTTTTATTTTTCTCTCAAAATATTCCTTCTTTGAGAAAATCTAATATACTAATTTCTTATATAATGTGCAAACACAATTTGATGGTATCTAAATCATTTTATTACATGCCTAATTTATCTTCACATTTCAGACATTGGAGATCACCCTTATAATGTGTATTTGAACAGAACGATTAACCCAACCTACTGCCTAAATCATCAAATGCAATCGACATAAGTGACGGTCAATAGCAAGCAAAGACAATTAATAGTGTGCTGCGATGGGACCTTGCCACAAATCGTTTATCGCGCAAAATGATAAAACAACAACAAGGGGAATAGCAAAATTCGAAGCAGAAAATAATTTGATCACTGAACACAAAACTGGGTGCAGTTAAAATTCAATGGCTTCGCTTGAACAAACAGCTTAACGGAAAGCAGAACTGGATGCATTTCGATGCAGTTAATTAATTCAGACAATCATCAGCGGGCGGAAAATAGCAAACCAACATCCACTTTATCTAATTTCTTCCTCGATGAAAATGTTACCTTTCAAAATTTGGATTGCTGGTGAAATGCGAGCAATTTTAGCGAATGTATTAGCGTTCTATAGGATATTTAATAGAAGCTAAATGAGGGTATATACATACAGATGCATTTATTTTATGTACATATGTATGTAAATAGTAGATCTGTGTAATTAAAATGCGGCTGTAAGTCTACTGATGTAATTGAAAAGTATGTACATACATATTTGTGGAAATTTGACCAAACAACTTAAGTCTATCTTTCATGGACAAGACAAATAGCGTATGTATGTCGACAAAACTGTAAAATAAGTTTTTGTCAAAGAGAAAATAGTTACAATTCGAAAGAAATATTAAAATATTTTATCACTATTTACAGCCTTTTAAATGTCTCTATTTTCAACAACTATAATAATAATAACTATAAAGCAAATTATTTAAGGGTCTCCGCCTGTAGCAATTGCAAAAAAAATAGAAAGATGACAGAATTAAGAAAAAAATGTGTGGACGCCTTATTTTGTATTAAACTCTTTAACTATTAAATTTATTTTACATATTTTACGGTTTTTGTACTATTTACAATCAATTTTACAATTATGAATATGGCAGCGCCGGCGAACCTTTATGCATAGATATACATAGGTGAATATGGCTACTGTGGTTTAATATAAGTATGTGTGTATATGTATATGGCAACATGAAGGTGAGTATACCCTGCAGGAAATGTATCTAACTATAAGCTAAACTTAATTGATTAGGAAGGAGCTATAATTCACTTATTATCTGTATATTTTCTTTGACGAAAGCTAACTATATTTCTATGGCGATGGCCGCTAAATAGTCAAGGGTGGTTACCTCTGCATTTGATGTAACTAACTTGTAACTAACTACTTTTGGGCATTAAATATCAATAGGAAAAACAAAATATATTTATTTTTTCTTTTTTTTTATTTATTTATTTTATTTTATTACATTTCATATTTGTTTACATATTCTGCTGTAGGTGGTCCCATATTCGAACTCCGTCAGACATAACTTCAAAACGGTAATATGAAATTTCGATCTTCCTTTTATTTGTCCTCAATTCGAAAAACTATTTGCGAAGTGCAGGATATTTAAATAGAAACGCGTTTAAAGAAAACAATCTCGAGCTTTACTCCTGCACTACTTGTCCCCTTGTTTCAAGTTAGCTTTTTGTAGCTAACCAGAAGCTATATATTTTATAGAAATCCCACAAAAAAGCTATCTACAAGTAGGTTATTCATTATCAATTGATAATTTTTTTCTGCAGGGTACCATTTGAAATACTTGAGTTCTCAATCCTATCAATTCAGTTGTAATTTTCTATTTCCTGCACTCAACTAGTGCCTACCAAACTGTTAGCTAATAACCACACCACTTGTGGTAGTCAGCAGGTTGGTTTCTTCGCTATTTATTAGTACCTCGTACAATTCGTACTGTACTTCGTAAATTATTCTTTTATTTAGCCCAACGCCTATTGTCGTGCAATGATATTTATCTGCGCTTGTTCTGCTTGCTCCCAAACTGTCGGTGCAACACTTCCTTTGCGAATTGCAAGCGCGTTTTGTAGATTTTTTTATAATCTTACTATTTTTCTGATAAAAAACTAATTTACCTCAAGAGATATGGTACGAATGCAAAGAGAAAGCTTGTGGCTAAAATTAAAAATTTTTAAAACGCTACTGCCACGTCTGTTTGTACCGCTTTTTGTTTGCCAAAAAAATATTAAAAACGGAAATTTTACACAATTTTGTAGATAAAAGTTATTATATAAGGGGTTTACAAATAAGAAATTGTTTATAAGTCTATGAGGAGTCTACTTGCTAACGGTGAAGCAACGAATATCCTAGTTTGTTGGGAAATATTAAAACAAAATTTTCAAAGTTCGACTTGATTTATTTTATTCACTAAAAATAAGGACATAGAAACGAAACTTTACTACACCTCCTTCGAATCTGAATGGATTTTAACAAGTTTAAAGCCAAATGCAAGATCATCACTTGGGGCGGTATTTACAGCATTGTTTTTTTTTTTTAATAAGCACTGCATCGATGCCATTCTGCTACAAAAGTTTGCTAGGGAAGGGTTTTTCTGAAATAACAGCTGTGCTTTTAGGCGTAGCAAATCACCGCTAAGCGATGCTCTTTGATTTGATACCCATATTGCTGTATTCGGTACATATTTGACTGAGTTAGAACGATTTGTGTGCCGGACGACGCTCTTTCTGCTGGGTAATGGTCGCCTGGTACCTCGACTTCCGCTATCTGGAATATTTGTCGCGGAAAAACAAGGTTTCAGAAAATTCGCTATAACCCCGCCAAATCTGAACCGATTTTAACAAAATTTGTGTCAAATGAAAGCTCATCTCTCCGGCGGTGTCCTGAAGCATTTCTCTTCCAATGAAATTTCGCTACAGAAACATTCTAGGTTTTTCTAAAATGCAAGGCCTACTTTTAGGCGTTTGGCATAGCTGCTACCCAGGGACAGCGCCCCGAGCTATGCTCTTTCAATTGACACTCATTTTGTTAAAATCGGTTCCGATTTGGAGGAGGTGTTGTGAATTGCGTGACACCTTGTTTTTCCGCGGCAAATATCCCGGGTAGCGGAATTTGGGGTACCAGGCGACCATAACTCAGCAGAAGGCGGGCGTCCAATATCAAAATTGTTATAACTCTGCCAAATATGGACCGATTGCGGCGATATGGGTATCAGATGAAAGGGGCTCGCTTAGCGGTGCGGAGTAGCAATGCTAAACACCTAAAAGTAGAGCTGTTATTTTGGTAAAAAATATTATCTATCGTGCTTTTGTAGCAAAATTACAGCGATGCGGCGCCTATTTTGCAAAAATAATGCTGTAGTATTCCGCTCCGAGTGATGCTCCTTAAATTGGCTTCAACTTTGTTTAAATTGGCGTAGGTTTGGAGGCGTTATGGTGAAGTTTGTGTGGCCTTGTTTTTTGCAAATTAATTAAATCAAGTCGAACTTGAAATTTTTTAGAAATATTTCCTCGCTATTCTCGATACTCGTGCTTTTACCGTCAGCTAGTAAATGTTGTATAGATTTTCAAAAAAAAAAAAATACATACATATTTTTTAGTGACTTTTTATTCAGACAAATGCAAAATTTAAATTTTTAATTTTTTTTTGCCAAAAACGTTTTAATATTTTTAGATTTTAGCCAAAAACTTCCTATGTCGTTTTGTCAATATTTTGTTAAAGAAAATGATTTTTTTTTATAGTAAAAATTTAAATAAAATAATTCAAGAACACGCAAACACCTGCGTTACAACCGAAGTGCTAACCCCGTTTGAAAACAGAAGAAATTCGTTATCACACGGTCAAATATGAAAGAGCATCGCTGGGACCGTTGTCCTGTGACATTTCTTTCACCGCTTAACGCTTACTTTGTACTTACTGGTGATGTGAATAGTATCGAGTATCGAATAGTATGTATTTGATATCGTTGAGCAATTTGTGTATTCGATGAGTATTGAAAAAATTATTTCGATACTTCGATACTCAAACATCATTGTTAAAATATATTTTCATAACAAGCGTCGCCAAAGCAAAGTAAGAGGTGGCAAAATTTACAGTGGTTGAATGGAGATTGGTTTAGGAGCAGTGTATAACCAGCTTTCAAAATGATAATTTACCGGAGCGCAACGTGGATCAAACAAAAGGCAATTCTCTTTGGAGCGACTTTGTTCAAAAATCTCAGTAGGCTCACAAAATTGTTTAGCGTATGTTATAGTCGAGGGCAATCAATGTATTCAAGAAGATTTTTTGTTGAGACATCGAGATCTGCTCGCGGCCGGAAAGAATTTACGATTTTAGTATAAGGGATTTTTAACGGAATAATGTAAAAATATCGAGTATCGAATACTTTTATTCGATACTTGTTGCCAAAGCATCGCGCATCGATCGATACTTGAAAGTATCGAAAATTTACATCACTAGTACTTACCGCTTAATTTGAGTTTGAACTTTAATTCTGATTTTCATCTGGAAATAAAATCATTTTGCTTCAACTTTTATCATAACTTGTTTTGCTTTATTTATATTTATAGTTTTTTTTTTTTTTTCTTATATGCAAACTTAAAAATGAACTTAAAATGAGAAAGGTAAAAATAAATTTATTTTTACTAAATATTTTGTAAGTATTACATATATAATATATTCACTTGTTAATTATACATATATGTATGTATTTTTGTATACAGTAATAGTCATAATAATTATCCCCAACTTCAGCTTTTTCATCGTCATTTTCTGCTCATCAAAAGCTTAACTATTAACCTAATTTTTGTTTAATTTTTATACTAAATAGCTTAACGTCATTTAGGTTTTGCTTAAATTTGTTTTTACTCGCATCTTTCTCACTTACACAGTCGCTACGATAAGTCAACACTTAAGTAAGCACGATTTTTTCGCTGTAGTTTTATGCTGAACTTTTTTTTTTTTTGTTTGCAATTATTGTTAACATATACATACATACACACATACTTACATGAATATTTTTAGTTTTTGCATACATTCATTGCAATTGTATATATGTAGGTATGTACATACATATGTAGTTAATGTTTTGAGTTCACGGGTTCTTTTGTGTTGTTGCATCGTTGAAAATGTTGTCTTTTATAGCCACATTTGCAGTGCACACATGCGTATATATATTCTTACGTACATATACATATTGGCAATTATTTATAATTAGTGTAATCTGTAATGAATGTAAGCACTTGTAGCAATTGCTGGGTTTTATGGTTTTATTTGAATGTACATATTTGTAGTTGTTCTAACGGGTTTTTTTCTTTTTTTTTGCAAATTGCACATATTTAATTTTTATATAAAGTAATAATTTCAATAAATCGTACCTTATAGTCTTTTTATATTTATATATAAAAATAATTGTAATATTTAACATAAATACGTGGAAATTGCACTTTTATTTAATTTATTGCAATACCAATGCTCATAAAATCTATAGTTAATCATTGGGTCTTAACTATTTCCTTTTTATTACAAATTCTCTTTTTTTTTAGCTCTACACTTAAATTCAATCATTTTTATTTATAATTCAACATATTTGATTAATTTTTTCTCAATAAACCCAGAGCGGCGAGCAGTGTTTGTTGTTGTTTATATTATTAATATGTACACCATAAAGATTAAGTGTTGAAATAAATTATTACCTGCAGTTTTTTATACATAAATATTTTTTTTTTACATAAGGTTCTTGGTACATATGTATTCCTTTTGTATTTGTTCTTTTTTTGTGGCAAGGACATTGAACTGTGGCATACATAGTTTTTTGTTATGTTTTTTACTAAATACTTAAAAAAATTGTTTTTGGTGAAAAAAGCAACTATCTATGCCAGCATTGAATTGCTTTTTAAAAGGCAGACAGGCTACGTGCATAGGTTTAAACGCAAGCTTTAATAGCACATACAAA